CTCGCAGTGACAGCTGGGAACGGCAGCCCAACAGCCAGGGCACGGCGACCCGCAGCGACAGCTGGGAACGGCAGCCCAACAGCCAGGGCACGGCGACTCGCAGTGACAGCTGGGAACGGCAGCCCAACAGCCAGGGCACGGCGACCCGCAGTGACAGCTGATGATGACAGCTTGATACTTTCTCAGTCTTGTAGGTCTGTCAGGACATCTCTGCCGCTCTTATATATCTCCCCAGTGTGTATGAGGACAGTTAGATAGTTATAGATTGTCTAGGGGAATGCAGACCTCCTAAGGGTAATTTTGCAGAACTCATTACACTCTTGCCTGACAGTCTCTCCTCTATTTGGTTTCGATAAAAAATTATAGTTTACGATTTTATTCTCTAACTTGTATGTGAAATGCTGACCTTCCTTTTCTAAAGAGGAAGAATTCCCCTGGTGGTGGGAGAGATCTGCATGCTTCAAGAATCAGCATGTCTATGGCCTGGTCCTTTCTGCACTGATATGCCATGCTGCACTCTGAAGGTAAGGAGGGAAATGGTGCTGAATGTATTATTCATTTTATCGCCCTTTGGGAGTTTGTCCCTATGATCCTGCTTCAGAGAGAGTAGCAAACTTGAGCTCAGAGATTGCTCTGAAAACATTTCAAGTGGATAGCAATCTCCCTGTGCTCAAGGAGGTTGGGCTTATTTGTCTCCCTTCCCCCACATGGGCCCCTTATAGGTCTGTCAAGGAAGGTATTGGCCTGGGGCTCAGGGATGGGCTTACGGTGACCAGATGTCCTGATTTTATAGGGACAGTCCCGATTTTGGGGTCTTTTTCTTATATAGGCTCCTATTACTCCCCACCCCCTGTCCCAATTTTTCACATTTGCTGTCTGGTCACCCTAGATGGGCTCCTCCAAAGCTCTACCTCCTCTACTACATTGGAGCCACATGAGCCATAGAAGTCTGTTTCCACTGAAGGACAGTTGTGTGTTACAGGAGTCAGCAGGGGGAAGGAGTTGGGCTTGTAGATCCTTGCTGCACTCTCCAGCGTTGGCAGCATCAGTGCTGTATCTGGTGCTCTCCATCTGCAACCCGCAGGGTAAGCGAAGACAGAGGAGGCCATCACGCTCCACAGCCAAAAGCATGATTGCTGTTGCGGGCTAGAGAGACTACAGCGCTATCTTCCCCCAGGTGCTCTATCCTTCTGACATCACGCTCCTCATGGAGATGGGGGAGGGGGACTGCCTGCCCCAGAGCCACTTCTTTCCAATCCTGCCAGGCTCCCTTCCTGCCAGGGGATGGGGGGCCAAGACAACACCATCTAGACTGGGCTGCATCTTGCCTACCAGGGCCAGCTGAGCTCTGCAGCAAGACACTCGATAAGAGGGGGAGCAGGAGACAGAGACCTTTCCTTTCATTGCTGGCCTTTCTGGGCCTAGATTGCTCCCTGAAGCAAGCAGGGCACCAGCTGATGCAAATGCCTCCGAAGGGGAAGTGAAGCTGAGGGGACAATCTCCTCAAAAATCCAGTACAGACCTGGGACACATCTGGGAATTAGACAAGACACATTGAGTCCAACTGTTGGTCTAAAAATTTGAAGCAAAATTTGGAATTTCCCTCAGAAAAGCTTTGCAGTGGGGAGGGCTGATTAAGCCACTGGCTGCTGTAAAAACAGAAAAAACTGGAGGGAACATCAGGAAGTAGGAAATAACCCCTGCTCCAGAGACTGAAAGGTCTGATGCCGCCCCTAATCCGTAAGGCTGAAGTACCCATTGCAATGGATGTGTGGACCTTAGCATGAAAAGAAAATATATTCCAGGAAGGCATAAAACATCCCTTACGTAGCAGCAATGGTTTGGCTAGGCCAGGAAGATTTCTGGACCTATCCCTGAGAAGGACCCCATTCTTCTATAAACAGAGTTGGGAAGGGTGTACAAGAAGTCGTAAAGACTCTTGGCCTGATGTCTCATGAATAAGGCTACAATTTTTTCATGGAGGTCGCGGAAGTCACGAATCCATGACTTCCAGCGACCTCCATGAATTCAGCCCTGTCGTCTGGGAATTGCAGCGGGGGGACTCCGGCTCCCCTGGAGTTCCCAGCTGCCGTGGGCCCTATGCAGCTCTTAACTGCTGCAGGTGGTGGTGAGCCTCCCCGCAGCTCCTGGCCGCTATGGGTGGCAGGGCTTCCCTCCCGCTCACAGCAGCCAGAGGCTGCCGGGCGGCGCGGCCCCTGGAGTTCCGAGCAGCTGCGGGCACTGTGGGTCCTTCAAAGCTCCCGGCGGCCGTGGGGGTATCCTGGAGCTCTGAGCCCCCACAGGCGGTGGGGGCCCCCAGAGTGGCCCCGCAGCTGCCAAACCTCTGCAGGCGGTGTGGGGACCCCGCAGCTGGGCTTCGTCAGGGATATTATTAGTAAAAGTCAGGGACAGGTCACGGGCTTCTGTGAATTTTTCCTTATTGCCAGTGACATGTCCATGACTTTTACTAATAATATCCATGAGTAAATCTTAGCCTTAGCATGAATTATACTAACCTCTTCCTTCTAGACACAGAAACATAGGACTGGAAGGGATCTTCAGGGTCATCGAATGCAACCCCTTGATACTGCAGGCAACTTCGTCATATAATCCTATTCATAAACTAAAACTAGTTGGGTTATTTGCCTGCACTAATCCTATTGGGAGGCTTTTCCAGAAACTCACCGCTCATGGTTAGAAACCTTCTTCGAATTTTCAGCCTGAATGTATGCACAGCCAGTTTATACCCATTTGTTCTTGTGCCAACATTGTTCATTTTGCTTAAACAGCTCATCTCCTCTCAGGTGTACATATAGACACCAGTCATATCCCCTCTCGGCCTTCATTTTGCTAGGCTACACAAGCCACACTCTTTTAGTCTCCTCTTGTAAGACAAGCTCAATTCCCCTGATTGGCATTGGAGCCCTTCTCTGTACCTGTTCCAGTACGAATTCATCTTTCTTGAACCTGGATGACCAGAACTGCACACAATTTTCCAGATGAGGTTTTACCAATGCCTTGAACAATAGCATACCTCCCTATTTCTACTGCAAATACTTATACACATATATGCCTTTATCTGCATCTGGGACTTGAAATGGCCTTCTTGCTCACCCAGCCCAGACCTTGCACCTAGGACCCCATGGGATTGGCCTCCATTTGCTCCTGTATTCACACTGGTTCTTACCTGCATCTGGGACCCAATAACTGTATTATTGCAGGCCAACTCTGTCTTGTTGATTGTGTCCAGCACAGCAGTTTTGCCCACAAATTCTTTATTGGTGCTTAGATGCCGTTCCAGGAGGTTCTGTACATCAGCACTGTACTGGTTAGTAAAGGCTTCTTCATACTGATCTGTCCAGAGCCGAATCCGGTTCTCCCACCCCTCAGCTGTGTTCTCATCCAGGGCATGTGCTTCAGAAGGAGAATTCTGCATCAAAGAACATAGGGTGAATGAATAGCACTTGCTGGGAGAAAACTCGATCCTAGAATCTCTGGTGGAAGTGCTGGAGCTCACCAACCTTCTTCCTCTATTGCCAGAACTAGCAAAGTGAATTGCTCACCAAGCCCTGGGGCCCCACTCAACTACTCAGATGATCACATGGGTACCCAAGAGGTGGTACCATTTTACACCCTCTAGCACAGAGCATAAAGCTGCTTCTTACTAGCGAGCCATGGAAAATGTTGCATTGGATGAAACCCATAAGGGGCACACTGCTTGAATTGTCCTATATGGAGAGAAGACAGACTCAGAGGCATGGGGAACAGAGAAACAAGACCGATTTTTCTCACTTGCCTCCTTACCTCCTCCTTTTTCCCTGCTCCTCTTGCATACTCTTCCCCTTCCAGCCCTTTATTCCCCACTCCTCATTTTGCTCTCGCCCCAACATTCATTCTATACACCTCTACCCCAATATAACACAAATTTGGATATAACGCGGTAAAGCAGTGCTCCGGGGGAGCGGGGCGGGGCTGCGCACTCCGGTGGATCAAAGCAAGTTTGATATAACGCGGTTTCACCTATAACGCGGTAAGATTTTTTGGCTCCCGAGGACAGCGTTATATCGAGGTAGAGGTGTAGTTCCCAACCCCCAAAACAGAAAGGACAAAACACAAAAAGGTAAAAGTTTAAGAATAAAAAGTAGAAATAGGCTAGTAAAAATGCACACTTGTGTAGAGGTTGCAAAAAGGGAAACTTAGAAATAACAGAACAGGTGGAGGATTAAATAGTAGAAATAGACACATAATAAAATAGTTAAAAATAACAAAACAAACACTTCACTCCAGTTCGGAACATTACAGATGTGCCCATTGTCCAAGCACTCATCATTCTGTGTCTTGATTACTGCAACATCCTGCCCTCTGATCTTGACAAATGCAATCTTGTTCCGCTCATATCCACTAAGAATGCTGCTGCTAAGATCATTTTCCTAGCCTGTCACTTTGACCACGTGTCTCGGTATCTCTCCACCAGCTCCCTGGTCTCTACCAAATTAAACGTAAGTTGTTTGTATTCACTTTCAAGGACACTCAGGATCAATCCCCACTTTACATATAATTTCTTATTTGCTGCCAATTCCTACCTCCAACTGACCCATGATTCCAGCCTCCATCACCTAGTTGTAAAGTTTTCATAAACATGCACCTTCATGTTTTCTCCCAGGCTAACCCCTGCGTTTGCGAGGCACTCACCATAAACATCTGCAAAGCTACCTCATTATCCTCCTTCAAATGCTCCTTTGCTGTGATGCCTACAAAGAACTTGACAACAGTCAGGCTGCTGGTGTGCTAAGACCACTGCCTACCAGTAGCACTGTCTCATGGTTTCCCTGTAATCCCACATATCTATATACATCTGTTTCTTGTTTCACACTTAGATTGTAAGCTCCTTGGGGTAGGAACTGTCGTTTTGTTCTTTGTTTGTACAGCACCTCGCACAACAGAGTTCTGGTCCATGACTAGGGCTCTAGGCATGACGATGATGTAATTAATAAATAATTTTAAAATAAATATGTAAGTATACAATATTAGCACTGTTAGCTTGTCCTACCTTCCCTTCCATTGTTTTTACACTGATTTGCTGCATTTTCTCTTAAACCAGACTGTTTTTTACATGTTTGTGCAGCACCCAATACAGTGGAGGGCTCTAACCCTGAGCACAAATAGAGTGGGTGCAGAACCGAGCAATGAAAAGTGGCTAGAAGCATGGAAAGACCTCTGCATGAGACGATATTGAGAAGGTTGGGATTGTAGTTTTGACAGGAAATTAATGAGGCCATGATAAAGGCATTATTAAAAGTAAATGAGAGAAAATATAATTAGGTGCTCCTGTTTACCCTCTCTTATAAGACTACAGCAAGGGAGCCAAACAAAATTGGAAGGCAATAAATTTAACAGGGAAATTCTTTTTACATGACATAATTAACCCATGGAACTCTCTGACACAAGAGATATTGAGGCCAAGAATTTAGAAGGATTCATAAAGGACTGAAATGTTTTTGGCACTGATACTTCAGTGACAGGCACCACAGAATAACCTCAGAGCATAATAAGAAAATTCACAATTATGTTAGATCAGATAAACAAAGGATAACAATATTCAGAAACATGAGTTACATATATAATTGTCCACTACAGGATTTTGTGCAACTTCCTCTGAACCATCTGGTACTGGCGACTATCAGAGCCAAGATACTGAACTAGGATGGTGAGACATACCAGGTACAATCCAGACTAATGACTAGCTGTGTCACCCCTGCCCTCTATCCTGGGGGGCGCTTTACAATGCTTTGCTGCTGTAACCTCCAGCCTGGACTCTACCCTGGTATGTCAAAGTGGCGCAGCAAGCAGAGTTTATGCACAGCTTGTTTTTTTAAATGAGGTTTACACTTTAAGCACTGGTATACCAAATTTTAAGTGAGTCTCAAGTGTGATGGTTGGAAACAGTCTGGTGTTGTCTGTGCTGCAAGGACACAAAGAGGGTTTTCTAACAAGCCAGGGAAGACACTTGCTAACCCATAAAAAAATCCGACCAAGTGGGTATTCACCCACGAAAGCTCATGCTCCAATACGTCTGTTAGTCTATAAGGTGCCACAGGACTCTTTGCTGCTTTTACAGATCCAGACTAACACGGCTACCCCTCTGATACTTGACATAAAAAAATCATTACAGAAGGACCAGGGCCCACTGTCAAGGTGCAGGAACAGAAATACAAAGCATGTTGGACCTAGAAGGAATTAAAGCTTCTGACAGTTCTTGGGCTTCGCCTGGGATCTGGATCTCTCAGAAAGACAACACTGTAAGGTTTTGTGCTGACTGTAGAAAACTCAATGCTGTCACAGAGCCAGATGTGTATCCCATGCGTACAACTGATGATATGCTGGACATTTTAAGCAAAGCTAAATATCTCAGCTCTTTTGATTTAACTAGAGGTTACTGACAGATTCCTTTCAAAAAGGATGCACAGAAAAAATCTGCTTTCACCACTGATACGGGACTCTATGAGTCCACAATGTTACCGTTCTGGTTAATGCAGGGAACATCCTTCCCCCTAGACTTTGTCTCCTGGTACTCAACTGGAAATGTTTTTCAAGAAGGGACTGAAACGGTAAAAGGGAAGGACAAACATGCCAAGGCACCCCCTTTCTCCCTCAGTGCCCATTGCATTCACTGCACCTGAAATGACAATGGGAGAAGGGGTCCTGAACTAAGAAGTTTGGTCAGTAAGATTGCTGAAAGCATATGATGAGAAACGGCACCAGTAGCATTTTAACTTTATTTTCTTATAACCCTTTCTGACTTTTATGCCTCATTACTTGTACTCATTTAAAATCTCTTTATAGTTAATAAACTTGTTTAGTCTGCAGAAGAGAAGAATCAGGGGGGATTTGATAGCTGCTTTCAACTACCTGAAAGGGGGTTCCAAAGAGGATGGATCAAGACTGTTCTCAGTGGTAGCAGATGACAGAACAAGGAGTAATAGTCTCAAGTTGCAGTGGGGGAGGTTTAGGTTGGATATTAGTAAAAACTTTTTCACTAGGAGGGTGTTGAAGCAATGGAATGGGTTACCTAGGGAGGTGATGGAATCTCCTTCCTTAGAGGTTTTTAAGGTCAGGCTTGACAAAACCCTGGCTGGGATGATTTAGTTGGGGTTGGACTAAATGACCTTCTGAGGTCCCTTCCAACCCTGATATTCTATGATTGAATCTAAGACTGGGAGTGTGTTGGGATCACCCTGCAGTCTAACCAAGGCTGGTGAGAGCCAGAGAGTAACCCCAGCGTGGCTGACAGGCTGAAGTTGCACACAGACACTCAGGGTGTGGCTTGCATGCTCGAAGGCTGTTTGTGAACAATCCAAGTGGGAACTCCTTCAGCAAGTAAGGCACCCAAAGCTGCAGGGCAGGGGTGACACAGCTGCTCATTAGTCTAGATTGTACCCTGGTACATCACAGATGGACCTTGGTCTGATCTGATAGATAAATGCCACATTTCTATGACAGTGCTTTGGTCCAAATGTAACCCTTTCCCCAGAAATTGTACCTGTGAGACAACCATTACCAATCCAGAAAGCCTGAATACTTACATTCATCCTTCCCAGTTCATGGGGCATGGAGAGGAATAACACCATTTCTATTATGGACCCAATATTATTTAAACTTATATGGTATTAGATACCAAAGTGATAGACAACTTACAAGTACATTAGATTAGATTAATCAAATGACAGCTTACCTGACTAGATACTGGGCCATGACTCAACCCTGTGTTCTCGGACCCAAAATCTCTCCTCACAGCTGTCACTGATCAGCCTCACCCTAGGTAGCAGGATGGGGTTTACCCAGCAGAGAGAAATTGATGAGTCCTCTCAGGTGAAAGCAGAGTTCACCAACCAATGGGACTCAGAAAAGGTTCCTTTGTGGTGCGTGAAAGGTCAGGGCTTGTCCAGAAGCTAGTGTTGGAATCAGAGAGCCCCACACAGACAAATCAGGAAAAAAACTACTGAGAGAAGTGACACAATCATGCGGGCAGCTCAGTTCCACTCACCTTCATCCGCAGAGATTTCCGTGAACCTTCTCGAAAGGCCTGTGCCCAAAACAAGAGAACGGTGCCCATCAGTATTTATACCCTTTCTTTAGATTTCTATAAAGCACTCTCCCCCCACTCGATGGAATCCAAGGATCACATTTAAATTAGATAACATTAAACATGTAAATTCCTCCCAGCCCAATGGCCCAGAGATCACAGCATTTCACAAAAGATGGCCGAAGCCACAGGAAGATTTAAACAGACCTGAACAGAAAAGCCCCACAGAAGGACTCCAGCAGACATTCTGAACTGAGAAAGTTCACCCCCCCCCCCCGACCTGACTAAGGCAAAATCTTGGGACCACGAGAAAGAGCGAGCTGACCAATCTCATCTGCCTTGGTAAGGAGGAGGGTCGGGGACCATCTCTCATTGAGCTTTATTATTCAGTAATACTAAGAATTGAACCAGATGGTTTTATCAGCAACCACTGCAGATCACAGAGGGTTGGTGCTATCAACTCCTTAACCCTAATGAGTAAGCTGTATTCTGTTATCTCTGTGGCTGCAGATCAAATTCAAGGAAAGCCCAAGTAAGTAGCAAATTACACTAATCAAGCTGCTGGTGAAGAAGACACAAATAGCATGTATTGTCTGCTTCACAACACACACAGGCATGATGAAGAACAATCCAAAGCTATTTGAAATCCCCAAACCCTTTCATCAGACTCAGACCACCTCAAAGAAAGCCACCCAGAAGTGCCACAAGTTGTGGGTAGTCCAGAAAGGGAGCTGTAAGACAATGAAAAGCACGCATGGAGATCTCCTTCCCAAGAATCAGCTCACCCCATGCAGAACAGTTCTGCCTCCCCCCCCCCGCCCAGTAACTGCATCCCACACACAGCACACACCTTTGAGAAAGAAGAACAGAGTCCTCTTAACATTTCAGTCCCATCATATCAATGAACCCTCTGCCACAGGCAGATGTGGACCCCTGAAGAGGTTTTTCTGAACTCTGATGAACCAGCAGGGGGAATGGAGATGCAATTCAAAACCAAACCTAAAGCCTCTGAATACCAATGGGCAGTGTAAGGAAACAAAGGGGAAGACAGATCAATCTGTAAGCTCCAGGCTGGGGTGGCCAAGCAGCTCATAAAGATGAGGCAGTGGTGGGACATGAGGACTTCCTGCCCATACAGGCATTGCTTACACAGAGTAACCAAAGGATGACCCACATTTGGGCATGCTGACCACAGTAGGGGTCAGCCTGCACTCACCAATACTGTGTCCCGCATTTGGTCTGGGCTGTTTTTGCCATGCTCAAATACCTTGATTTTCTTGGCCTTTGGTGCAGTGCGAGCTTTCTCCATACTCCTCTTCCTCTTCTTAGGTTTGTTTCTGCGGACCCGATTAACAGTGAGAGTGATGCTTGTGGGTGTGTGCTGCGTAGCTGTGTACAACACTGTGGAGGGGGAGAGCTCCTCATCCCAACTCTCAGTTGCACTACTGTCTCCACCTGCAGGGAGGAGTATCATGTTAGCAACTTTATGTCTACCATGGAGAGATCTGCATGTCCCCTGGTCCCCCTTCACGATGATTTGCTAGTTAGACATTGGCTCCCCAACCTGAGAGCCCCACAAGCTCAACCTCCCCTCCACCACTCTCCCAACCTTCTGACACTGCACAAGATGACATTACTGCATATTTGGTCTCTCTGCCCCCCAGAGAACTTGCCACATCCCTCGAGTCCCAACGGTGAAAAGGAAAAGACACATGAGTGTGTTTATCACAGCTGTAGGTGATTAGAGCACTGAGAGACAGTAACGAAGAACCTTCTGGCCCTGTTGGAGGAGACAACAGTGTCACCATTAGTCTCAGCATAACCACAGCCTTACCTGACACATTGTCCTGCTTCCGGCGGCGGAGTCTGATCACTTTCCCCCTGCTCATTCCCCTGCAAAAGGAGAATGAACAATTGAAGCCAGTTTTGTAAGGGTCAGTCAACCTGAAAGTCAACCAGATGTCACAAGCTGCATGCCCTCTAAGGGGCCTACGGTGGTAAGAGCATCAATTTATCATTCTCATCTCCACTCCTAGTGCCCCCAACACTTGTCAGGTTGACAGAGCTAAGGGGGAGGGCCGATACTTGGCAAAGCACTCGACAGAACACTTCAACCAGCAACAGGAAGTCCATCCCCAACTCAAATGTGATAGTCTGGCATTAGAAGCCGTCCAGTTCTGCGATGCATCAGAAGTTACCTGCATTTGTCACACTTGATGAGGAAGCCATCTTGAGAGAGAGTGCAGTGACACCAGCTGGGAATGGACTCTCCCTCTGAGGAACTCTCACTGTCCCCAGAGTTCTCCTCGTCAGGAGAGTGCAAGCCATTCAGCTCAGCACGAGGGATGATAGTCTGAACTGGGGGAGATGCTGGAGGGGTCGGAGGAGGAGGAGCTCCATAATTATGATCCTGAAAATAAACATCTCCATCAGAATTATTTTGAACATAGGGAGTTCAAAGTCTCAGGGTATGTTTACACTGCAGCTGCGCTGCTGCTGCACTTCTGGCGAAAGGAGAGAGCTCTCCCATTGGCTTAAGAACTCCTGCCTCCACAAGTGGCGGTAGCTATGTCGAAGGGAGAAGCTCTCCTGCCAACATAGTGCTGTCCAATCTGCTGCTTAGGTCGGTGTAACTTATGTCACTCCGGGGTGTGGATTATTCACACCCCTAAGCAACATAAATTATACCAAAGTAATTTATAGCGTAGGCATAGCCTAAAACTCAGCTCTAACTCAACAGCCATCCAAGAAACCAACAAACAATCTGAATGGAAAACAGCAGTCTGCAAACAGCTTGAAGCAATAGCTTTGAGAGGCGTGAACTGCACTATTTGTCTCAATTTTTTACTATTTGTCACTATTTTTCTCAAACCTCTGAGAACAATTCAAATGTCAATATTGACTGTTTCACTGCTAATTGTTTTGAAAAAACATCCAGCTAATGTGCTTATCCCAAAATCTCAAACCACTTTCCATGCTTTCCCTCTGCAGATGTCATCTCCAACTTCTCCCCAACCTTCCCAAGTTCTGACAGGTATGTGTTTTCAATATGAAAATCTGCAGCACGCTGAAAACGAAGTGTGAAGACAGTGTAAAATAAATTGCAGTTGGTATCAAACACCACCAGCGAGGATACTGTGGAAGGTGTTACACATTCATAAACTTTGTTCAACAAAATCCTCCATTTTAAAATTTAAAGGAAGCTGTTGCAGATTTTCCTATTTGCCTCACAGAGCATTACAGGAAGCAGGGGATCTTGCCACTGAATCTACATCAAGCTTGCTGAAGAGAACATGGGGCCTTGAGAGTAACAAACACACAAGATGCAGGAAGTTTGGCAGGACTCAGTCACACTGCTGTTGCCCCAAAATAAGCTATACCAGCAGTTTTCAAACTGGGGCACACGTACCCCTAGGGGTACACGAGCTCTCATCAGGAGGTATGCGAGAAAAATCCTGTAATGGAAGACAACGCATTTTATTTAGTACAGAGGTTTAGTACTAGTGGGGCAAGGAGGAACATTCTGTGGGGGAAGCAGCGACACCAGCCCTGCACAGTGTGGCTTGGGGAGGGAACGCCGTCTCCATTCCTTACTGGGCCAATCTCAAATGTTTGATTGCGTCCCGCCCAACCGAGACAGACTGAGTGGCCCACTGAGGTGAGGCTTGCCCAACAGTTAGTAAACCTCTAGAAGATGTTGCTAAAGGGAAGGCAGAAATCTGGGGGGGGCGCGTGACCCCCGCATGCCCCCACCCCCGCATTGCCGCTGTCTCTCTCAGATGGAGGTACACAGTAGACTGCATAGTACGCAGCCTACAAAGTTTGAGCTAAACAAAACTGCAGTTCAGGTTATGTAGGGAAAGGGCTATAGAAGGAGCAAGGGAGCAGAGTGTAAAGGAAGGGGCTGGTACAGTGTAATGCTCTGCAGATTAAAGGGTGAGTACTCACTGCATAAGGCAGCCCTCGATAGCTGTGCCTCTGGGTGGCCTCATAGCCATGACTGGAGTACACATTCTTCTCATCGACAGCTGGACTAGCTTCCACGGACTCTGGGCTGCAGAAAATTGCCAGAAGTAAGATCCATCAGTGTGGAACCAAATTCCCCCTTGTCAGGCACTTGCCAATATCTCAGCATTCTCCTCTTTCCCACTCGGCAGAAGTGTAAACTCACTGTTAAGAGATCTCAGGGAAACTGAGGTACATTATCCACTTCACAATGTGGCCCATACATGGAGGATGGGGGTGTAGGATAAACCTGTGATTGACAGACAGAACAGGCAGCTAAGCAGGGTTCATGCTAGATAAGGGGTAACTAACTCATCTCCTCATGCTGAAGCAGGAGAGGAGTAAGAAACATGCTGACACAGCCAGACACATTATGTGCATACTCTCATATTCCTCCACTATCTTCACATTCACCTCCAGATACAGTTCAGGATTTCCTGCCTTGATTTTAAAACCCTCCATGGACTTGTTCTATCTGGGCCTATGATCCTTATCACACCCTTCTTGTGCCCCACTCCACGCCCTCGGCCTGGCCAGTGCTGATTTAGTCTCAGTCTCACCACACTGACACACCACCACCTTCTCCTTCTTTAAATCCAAAAAGAGCATCTCCAAACTGCAGATGAACACACCTCTCCTGCCTTTATGCCTGTTCTTCTTCCCCTCAGCTACTAAGGCTATGTCTACTCTACGGACGTTACAGAGGCACCGTGTACCGCTGCAGCTGCGCTGCTGTAAGGTCTCCTGTGTAGCCGCTGTATACTGACAGGAGAGCGCTCTCCCACTGGCATAATTAAACCACCCCCAACAAGTGGTGGTAGCTATGTCGGCAGGAGATGCTCGCCTGCCGACATAGCGCTGTCCACACTGACGCTTTTGTCAGTGAAACTTTATGTCAGGTCGGGGGGGGGGGGGGGGTTTGGCACCCCGACCGACAAAAGTGCTAGTGTAGACAAAGCCTTAGTGTCACTTAACTTCACAGTGTTTTGGGATATAATTTGTATGGAAGCTACAGTTGTCCTAAAAACATCTTGCACAGTTTGGGATGGTTAAGATTCCATGTTGCAAAGAAGGGTCAATAAAACTCATGGCTTGGACAGAAAAGGGCATAGGCAAAGCAGGTTGGCTTTATGCTTCCTACATGCCGACATGTGTTGAACGGGAATTTTTTTGCTAACTTAAAATGACAATGCATATTTTCACCACACGGTGGCGAAAAATATCAGGTCAAAATCAAGTATAAAGTGTGCTATTGGTGAAGGACTGCAGGAGTTCTGGGCAGAGGAGGGATAGATGCAATTCAGCACAGGGAAGCGGTAGATAATGAGGGCAGCAACAGAATACCAGAAAGGAAATACCCTCTCAATTGAGAGGCATTCCAAAACAGGAGATGGAAGAGGACATACTACTGCACATGTACAATTATAGGTTGCATTGGAAATGACACAGGAAATAAGTGAATCACATCTGTAGTTCCCGGGCAGGTCTACATTTAAAACACTGCAGCAGTGCAGCACGCTTCTGTAAGGTTGCTACTTTGCCAACAGGAGGCCTTTTCCTATCAGTGTAGGTACTGCACTTCCCCAAGAGGCAGCAGCTCTGTCGATGGGAGAAGCCCTGCCATCAAAATAGCGCTGTCTACATCGGGGGTTAGGTCTGTATATCTGCATTGCTCAGGGGTGTGGCTTTTTCTCACTCCTAGGCGACGCAGTTATTCCAACGTAAGTTTATAATGTAGACTTGGCACCAGTCTCCCCTTCAAAGATTATAGCACAGGAGAAGGGGCAAAGCAGACAGAAAAGCAGGATTCTCACTCCCGGGTCTTGTGTTGCCAGTGTGAATCCGGCAGAACTCTAAACACTAAGGGCATGTCTCGCCTACAAAATTATGTCAACTTCAGTTACATCGGCATAAAGCCGCCACAGTAATTAAATCACTTTTGTGTGTCCACACTACACTCCTTGTGTCAATGGTGCGTGTCCTTACTAGGAACGCTTGTACTGACTGTAGTGTCAAGTGTGGGGCATTGTGGGATGGCTTCTGAAAGCCAATAACAGTCGATGTAAGCAATGCAGTGTCTTCACTGGCACTGCATTGACCTAGCTATATTAACATGGACTCTACACTGCTTGTGAAGGTGGACTTAGTCAGTGTAGCAAGGCTGTTATGTCGACGGGAGCAAAATTTTAGTGTAGACACTTACATAGTTAGGTTGACATAAGCTGCCTTGCGTTGATCTAACTCTGTAGTGTCGGCCAGGCCTAAGGCTTCGTCTATACAGGGACATTTAGGAAAATTAATATGCATTAACTAAAGGTGTGAATTTAAAGTGGATTAGTTAAACTGCATTAAGCGTTTAATTCAGGGCATGGCTACACTTGCAGATGTAGAGCGCTGTGAGTTAAACCAGCCCTCGGAGAGCGTAGTAGAGAAAGCACTGCAGTGTGTTCACACTGTCAGCTGCAAGCACACTGGCGTGGTCACATTTGCGGCACTTGCAGCAGCATTGGGAGTGGTGCATTATGGGCAGCTATCCCACAGAGCACCTCTTCCCATTCTGGCTCTGTAGCTTGTGGGAAGGGGGCAGAGGGTGCGGGGCATTCTGGGTCCTGTCCCAATGCCCTGTGATGCATCGCATCCCAGCAATCCCTGTGCTTCCATCCATATTTGGCGTCATCTTTCAGCGTGTTTTGTACTGCACTCTGTCTTCCCTTTCGGTCTGCAGGAATGGAGCTCGAAGTGCTGAGAAATATGCTGATGAGTCTTGCCAGCACGTCGCATTTGGCAGTCGAGTTACTCCGTAAGCTACAAACTGACAGTGAGGAGTCCGACGATGATGTTGACTCGCGTAACGCATATGACACGAGATTGCTTGTGGCATTCACGGACATGCTCACCACCGTGAAACGGCGCTTTTGGGCTCGGGAAACAAGCACTGAGTGGTGGAATCACATCGTCATGCAAGTCTGGGATGACGAGCAGTGGCTGCAGAACTTTCGGATGAGAAAAGCCACTTTCATGGGACCGTGTGCTGAGCTCACCCCCACCCTGCAGCACAAGGACACAAGATTGAGAGCTGCCCTGCCGGCGGAGAAGCGGGTGGCTATTGCAATCTGGAAGCTGGCAACTCCAGACAGCTATGATCGGTCGCTAACCAGTTTGGAGTGGGAAAGGTGATCGTTGGAATCGTGTTGATGCAAGTTTGCGGGGCCATTAATCACATCCTTCTCAGAAGAACCGTGACTCTGGGTAATGTGCATGACATTGTGGCTGACTTTGCACAAATGGGTTTCCCTAACTGCGGAGGGGCAATAGATGGGATGCATATTCCAATTCTGGCACCAGTCCACCTAGCCTCCGAGTACGTTAATCGGAAGGGGTATTTCTCTATGATTCTCCAGGCGCTTGTGGATCACCGTGGGTGTTTCATTGACATTAACGCAGGCTGGCCCGGAAATGACGCATGCATCTTTCGGAACACTGGCCTCTTCAGGAAGCTGCAAGCTGGGACTTTTGTCCCATAAGATCACTGTAGGGGAAGTCGAAATGCCCATTGTGATCCTTGGAGATCCCGCTTACCCTTTAATGCCGTGGCTCATGAAACCCTACACAGGGAGCCTTGACAGCAGCAAGGATCAGTTCAACAACAGGCTGAGTCGGTGTAGAAGGACTGTGGAGTGTGCTTTTGGCCATTTAAAGGGCCGCTTGCGCTGTCTGTATGGGAAGCTGGACCTGGCCGATGACAACATCCCCACGGTTATATCCGTGTGCTGTACCCTCCATAACATTTGTGAAGGGAAGGGTGAAAGATTTAGTCAGGCATGGAACTCGGAGGTTCAACACCTGGAGGCTGAATTTGAACAGCCAGAGAACAGGGCTATTAGAGGGGCCCAGCACGGGGCTGCAAGGATTAGGGATGCCTTGAGTGAGAAATTTGAGGCTGAAAGCCACCAGTAATGTTTGGTGCCCTGCACGGGAGAGAAGTGCAGTGGTTCCAAAGTTAGTAGGAATCTGTGTTTGCTACATTGACTTGCAGTGCCTGTTGCTCTCCTGGGCTAAGGTATCTTTTACTTAATGCAATAATAAAGAATGTTTTCAAAGCCAAAAAATCCACTTATTGAAAAGAAAATTCATGTATTGAAAAGAATCACAACTGCTTGGGAAACAGAGAGGGCAAGGGATTGCGGTGGGGAACGGTTCAATCACAGATTTGCATATGTCCTGTTATCTTACTCTGCCTTCCTGTCTGGAGTGCTGTGCAATGAGCACTGCACTTCAGGCAGGCTAAAATGCATGGTGATGGTGGTTGAGTGCAGTGGGTAAGGGTCATAGTTTGCAGGACTGAGTGGTGAAGCTACAGGTGTTGGAGGCAGTTGGTGGCGATAAGAACCCGGATGTGGGGAAAGTGGGTTGGAGGTGACATGGGGGCACAAGGGAAAGAGTTTTGGAACAAGGGCTGGGGGGGGGGGGGGGGAGGAGTAGTGCTCCGCCTGCATGGCT